TCCTAAAGTTGAACCCTTTATCTGCTGATTGCAGGTGCAATGCTTTACAGGCTGCAATGTAAAAAAGATCATAAATGCGCATTTTTTTACCTGCAAAAAGTATTTATTATTTTTTGTAAAAGGTGAACTTAGCCTGAACTTTAAGAAATGTCTAGGGATGTATAATAGTGAACACTGTGCTTTGCAAAATGTGTCTCGCAGTTATCTAAAACTTTTTTCATGTTGCAATGAGGATCAAGTGGGTAATTGTCCTGGAGATGCTTTTAACAAACCTGTTTATGTCTAGATCTGATGTGCTGCATGGCAAAAAGGCACCCCATCTGGAGCTCCAAACAAATGGTGAGTGATATTAACAGTGCAGTGCTACCCTCATGAGGGCCAGTGAGTTTTTAGGTCCTCCTGAACTCTGCACAGCCAGGCAACATGCATTTTCCACACTTTCATCCAAAGGCAGTAAACAGTCCATGAGCGTGTTTTTGTTGTTGTTGTTTTATTAGGGTTTAACAACTTGGATAGGGTCTAGGGGTATATGGGATGCCCAATGGAACTGAACATCTTGCAGAACAATTTCTTAGATGAAAATGGCAAGAATCCAGCATAAATCCCAAAAAGAACAAATGGATCCTAGTTCTCTACTCCATCAGAAGTGGCACTTCCTTTCTGTCAGATTAGCACTCATTCTTTGCAAGGAGCACTTGGTCCCCTTAACCACTTGAGCTCCTGAGGATTTACCTCCTTAATGACCAGGCCTCTTTTTGCTACTTGGCACTGTACTAATTCAACTGATAATTGCGCGGTCATGCAATGCTACACCCAAACGAAATTTACGTCCTTTTTTTCACACAAATAGAGCTTTCTTTCGGTGTAATTTGATCATCTGTGCGCTTTTTATTTTTCACGCTATAAACAAAAAAAGACCAAAAGTTTGAAGAAAAACAATATTTTTTACTTTTTAGCTATAAAAAATATATAGTAAATTCAAAGTTGGTTATAAATTTAGGCCAAAATGTATTCTGCTACATTTTTTTTGGCAAAAAAAAATCCCAATAAGTGTATATTGATTGCTTTGTGTGGAAGTTATAGCGTCTACAAACTATGGTATAAATACTGCAATTTACGCCATTTTTCTGCTATACAGCGCTGCACTAGTTTAACGGACAATTGCACGGTCATGCAATACGGTACATAAATGAAATTTACATCCTTTTTTTCCCCACAAATTGAGCTTTCTTTCGGTGGTATTTGATCGCCTGCACGCGGTTTTTATTTTTCGCGCTATAAAAAAAAAAGGCTGACAATTTTGAGGAAAAAAAAAATAATATTTTGGACTTTTTGCTATAAAACATGTCCAGTAAAAAAAAATGCAAAAATCAAATTTAGTCATAAATTTCTGCCAAAATACATTCTGCGACATGTCTTTGCTAAAAAAAATCCCAATACGTGTAAATTAATTGGTTTACGTGAAAGTTATAGCGTTTACAAATGGCGGGAAAGATACTGGGATTTTTAATTTTTTTTATACTAATAATGGCGGCGATCAGCGACTTATGGTGGCGATCAGGGACTTATGGCGGCGATCAGCGACTTATGGCGGGACTGCGGGACTGTGGCGGACATTTTGACACTGGGGGGGAACTGACTTGGGGTCACTGACCTCCCCAGTGACACCAATACAGTGATCAGTGAAAAAAAACACTGAAACTGTACTAATGTCACTGGGGAGGAAGGGGTTAACATATTTAGAGTTTACTGTGTAAGGGGAGTGTTTTACTAGGGGGCGGGGGTGTGTGCTGGACGGGGGAGGGAGGGGGGAGCTGATCGAGGGAGAGAAATTCTTCTCTCTCTCTTCAGCTTGTCGGGGAACTGTCACAGAGCGGGCTGTGTGTAAACAATGCAGCTCTGCTCTGTGTCAGTGATAACAGCTCAGCGTGGGAAAACGGCCGGTAAAAAATGGCCGTGACCCGGCGGCTGATACCCGCTGCGGACACCCGCGGGGCAGGCAGGGCGGGCGCGCGCCTCACGCGCCCCCCTACCTGTTTTGCGGAGGTCCGTTTTAAGACGTCGTTTTGCCTACGAGCGCCGCCCTGCCGCCGTTTATAGGCGGTGGCTGGGCGGCATGTGGTTAAGTGTACCTCCTCCAGATGAAAATCTAATCATCCACCTGGCTGTATCCCATGGCAAGGGATTCCGAGACACACAAAGAATAAAGTCCCAGGGAGAACTAGTTGGGTATTGCACCTGATCATCCTCTCTCATTTGGCCCAGGGAGTGTAGAAGTACTCACACTGTCCTGTTCCTGTAGCTTTAATTCTTTCGCTGCCAGGTCCTGATAGCGGGGGGTTTTATACAAAATCCGGTGGCTGCAGCTGCTGTGTTGCCCTCTGATTGTTTCCACATAACCCAGTAATGGTGTCCCCCTCTGCATGCATCTCCCGGCATGTATTCCAGGCTCCGCTTGCCCATCTGCGGGCCCATGGCCAACGTAGTGGGTGCCGGAGATGGAGGGGAGAGAGGAGAGCGGACAAACGTCTGCTCTCCTCCCCTTCTTGCTGTTACCTGGAAAGCAACGTGACTTCCGGGTCACCGCTGTCACTTTGTAGAGATGTATAGCAATTAGATCTGCATTGTAATATATCCAGTGGAGCAAAGAGGAGACATGGATACAAGAGAACCTGTCACCTAAAAATCGTCCCATAGGGGACTTTGTGTCCTCAATGTGATGAGAAAAAAGTTAAGTGAAAAAAATGTTTTGTTTTGTTTTTTTTGCAAGAAAATAAAAAGTAACGCCTAAGCAAATAACATCCCTCCAAAACAAATGTTGAAGCCCCCCACCGCCACATATACATATGTATTAATGTAAACACACACGTTAAGGGTGCCTACATGTGAAAACGTCCATTGCACTACACATGTTACATATCATCGTGCACGCTGGAGTGGGAGCAATAATACTAACAAAATACCTCCTCTGTAACACTAAACTGATGACATGTACAGGCTTTTGAAGCGCCGTCTCCATTTCACAGGCACATACAAATTTAGGGTTTGACATGTAGGGTATCTATTTACACGACGCAAACCTTTTTTGCCTTTACCAAAAATGTGGGTAATTAATTGCGTTGTTTGCACTAAAATTCACTTTAATGTGTTTTTTACTAAAATGTTGCCTTTTCTAGACCTTTGGGGTAATATTATGTGACGTAAAAAATTGTAAATACCATTTTATTTAATTGGAACACCATTTTATTCTTTAGGGTGTCTGCTTTCATAAAATGTATAATGTTTTGTGTAATCTTCAGGCCTAAACTGATTTTTTAAACATGTGTGCAAAAAAAATAAATAAAAAACAGGTAGTGAAAGGATCAAAGGTTGAAACTGCTTACAGGCCTTACGCTGGGTTGGCTCCTTCCCTGTGGACAGGCTGTATTTCCACAGTAGACTGTGGGACAGTAGAGGTCCTCTCCAGCTTTAGCCTGTAGACAGACCTCCCTCCTCTGGGGCCCCCTCCCAGTCTCCACACCAGCAGCACTTCCTCGCTCCATCTTCCTCCTGACTCCCTTGCTGTCCAGGCTCGCTCATATTTAAAGGCTGACCTAGCCACCATGCAAGGCCTCCTGCCCAAGGACTGGCCAGATTCCCCCAAGTATTCAGATCAGCCCCTCCTCATCCCTGCCCACTGCTTTTAGAAACTTCTCCAAGTTTACAAAGCAGGAAGAGATATCAGAGAACTGACCTGCAGAGCTCTTCAGCCTTAACCAGAAGAAACGTCGCTGACTCACTCCCAGTCTGACCATACCCAGATTTCTAGCAAGCCTTTAACTATGCACATACAAAAAAAAAATATCTTACACTAAAGGGTGTTACAAAAGATATGTATTTAGAGCACTGCCCCTTTACCTTACTATCTCTTAATAATTCACTTATACCTTAACAACCAATACATGGTTTATTGCTGCACTATATTGTGTTTATTGTTCATTTAATATTTCCAGTCAAGGCTAAACATTGAGTAGCAGTCTATGAAACCCATATAAATATTTTATTATACGTAAGGTATACTGGATTATTACTTTCTGTTCTTTTTCTTTTTTTCAGCTAAAAAAATATATGCCCATAGCAAATGGGAGCATTATGGACAGTTTGTGTGTGAACCACTTATTGCAGCAAACTCTCTAGTTTATATGCATTAGAATTTCGCTCCTACAGATTCCCTCATCGTTAACAAGAACAGCTTATCCCCTCAACAAGACTTTTCAGTTTCAGCTCTACCGTCTCATTCCAGATAAAACTCTTCTGCACCAGTCTAGTTTATTGCAGAATGTATTTTTTCCCCAGAAAAGCTTTAAAGCAACAGAAACTCCTTTTGTAATCACCGAAGCTTGTGCTGTAGATGGCAAATCTGTCAAGAGAAACACTAGTTATAGAAAGGAAGCTAAAACAGATCCAGCTAAATGTATTATATTGGTATATTGCTGATATACTGTAAAATGTTAGTAAAGCATAACAGCAATTATAATTATATATATATATATATATATATATATATATATATATATATACAGTATAGGGAGAGAGATTTTCTAAAACTGATACTCTCAGAATCTGGTGCAGCTGTGCATGGTAGCTAGTTTGCTTCTAACTTAACCACTAGTCTACAGGGCACTTATACCCCCTTCCTGGCCAGGCCAATTTCCAGCTTTCAGCGCTGTCACACTTTGAATGACAATTGCACGGTCATGCAACACTGAACCCATATGAAATTTTTATCATTTTTTTGTGACAGAACTTTATTTTGGTGGTATTTAATCACCTCTGGGTTTTTTATTTTTTCTTAAATAAACCAAAAACCACTGAAAATTTTGAAAAAAAAAGTTTTTTCTTAGTTTTTATTATAAAATGTTGTAAGTGATTTTTCTCCTTCACTGATGTGCGCTAATGAGGCTGCAGTGATGGGCACTGATAGGCTGCACTGATGGACACTGATAGGTGGCACTGATGGGCACTGATGAGGAGGCACTGGTAGGTGGCACTGATGGGCATTGACAAACATCACTGATGGGCACTGAAAAGCAGTACTCATATATGGCACTGATAGGCGGCACTGACTGGCACTGATAGGCGGCACTGACTGGCACTGTTAGGTGGCACTGACTGGCACTGTTAGGCTGCACTGATAGGCAGCACTGACAGGCACTGATAGGCGGCACTGATGCACACTGATAGGCGGCACTGACTGGCACCTATAGGTGGAACTGATTGGCAGCACTGATAGGTGGCGCTGACTGCCATTGATAGGTGGCGCTGATGGGTGACACTGAAAGGCAGCTCAGATGGGCACTGATATGTGGCATTGATGTGCACTGGTAGGCACTGATATGTGGCATTGATGTGGCACTGATGGGCACAGGCAGGTGGCATGGATGAGCCCTGAGAGCTGGCACTGATGGACACTGACAGGTGGCACTGCTATGGCTACACAGATCATCAGGGCACACTGATCATCAGTGCCCTGATGATCAATGTACATGTCCCCTCCGAGGAATGCCGATTACCAGCTCTCCTCTCCTCTCGAGCTGTCAGTGTGACAGCTCGTGAGGAGAGAAATGCCAATAACCGACATTTCCCTATTTACATGCGATCAGCTGTGATTGGACACAGCTGATCACATGACCAAGCCGACATCTTCAGCTCTTTCCGTAGATCGGTGATCCGCTGTGTCCGAGGGACACAGCGCACCACCGATCGCTGGGCTGCGCGCTCCCAGGAGCCGCGCATGAGCGGTTAGAATGGGAGGACGTCATATGAAAAACGAGAGAACCGCCTTGCGCCCGTCATTGTACTATATGGCGGGTGGGGAGGCGATTAAACTTGTTCAGCTAAGCTTTGACAAAGCCTGGAAGCTGATTAGTTTCTATGCAGAATTGCACCAGATTTTGCACCGTGCAGTTTTAGTAAATAACCCCAGAAAACTAGTAACAATCATCCAAATAAACACAGTTTATTATCAGAGAAGCTGTACAGTGCATTTAGTGAAAAAAAAACAATTTTTGTACATTATGTGCTGTAATAAACATCACCGAAATGACGCAAAAGTGTTGGCAGAGGTAAAGCATCTTGAACAGTAATTAAAATACCGAGCATGTGTCAGACAGAGCCTGCCAAGGTAGATCAGGTGTTAGCAATACTGACATAAGTAGGTTTTAAGAATGTGAATGTGTCCAAGTTCTGCATTTTGATACTGTATATTTTAAATGTGACTATTTCAGATTATTTTTTGAAAAAAAAATGTATGATTGATGCAAACATTTTCAGGTATATATAAATGTGAACAATACACAAGGAAAGAATATGCAGGACATTTTATGTAGATTTTAAATCCTTGCAAATCAATAAACTTACTGGCTATGTTTTGTGCTTGTTAAATTTCTGATTTTTTTTTAAAGAAATATGTTTGTTTCTGGTGGGTTTTAGATTTCATACTATATCCTACACTGGGAAAAGAAAAAAATGCACTTTAATTAGCAACTGTGCATAAGGCCCCTGCACAGGCATCAAGAAAATTGCAAAGATGAAATGCATGAGACAGTTGCCATGTTGTGACGGCAGTATGAAAATTGCTGTTGGTCTTATTGCAAGAGATTGGTGGGCTGTTTACCCACTTTTATATAGACCTGAGTGGCTGTATTTATTAGGTTTTTTTGTTTGTTTGTTTTTTTGTTTTAATAAATGTATCAAATTGGTTTTACACTATGTGGCTGCTGTCTATATTTTTATGCTGAAGTATGAGAATCTGGGCAGAGCAGATGAGATTCACTGAACTTGGTTTAGGAGAGAAAAGCTTGTCCAACCTAATATGTGTCAGAATAAGTCTGCGCAAAAAGGTGAGTGAGAGTCCAGAGGAGTTGGAACATGAGTGTGTGAGAATACATTTTTTTCTGGATCACAAAGTTGAGAGAAAGGGAGTGGATGCATGATATGACTTGATGGTGGAATATTTTCAGATGACAATGGAACTATAAGAATGGGGGAAATGATTGATGTGGAGACATTTTTGGCCCCAAACTATATCACTAATTTTTTCTCAAAATATCACCAAATCTGTTCTCTCCACTCCTCCCAAGATCCTCTGCTCTCTGGCTCCCTTGTCTCCTTCTCCCATGCTTGTCTCAAGGACTTCTCCTGAGCCGCTCCCATTGTCTGGATTTCTCTACCCCAATATATCTGCTACTCTGTCTAATTTTAGGTGATTTCTGAAAACTCTTCTCTTCAGGGAAGCCTATCCTGCTTTCAGCTAACAACTGAGTCTTTTATTTCTCCCATAATTTCTTTCCTTACAGTTACTACCTTTTGTTCCACTTGTCCCTTCCCATTAAATTGTAAGTTCTAAGGAGCAGGGCCCTCTTAACCCTCTTGTATTGAATTGTATTGTTCCTGCAGTGTCCTTTATATTGTAAAGTGCTTTGCAAACTGCTGGGGTTCTAAAAATCCTGTATAACATCCCCTGCTTCCCTTTCCCATGGTGGCCTTCTCTGGACTCACTTCCTCAGATCCAGTGGACAGAAGAGAGGTGGAGTAGGACTCTTATCCCCACAGAGCACCTATCAGGTACTTCACCCACCTCCCTCTCTGACACTCTCCTCTTTTGAGGCACATTGTATCTGTCTATTTTCTTCCATTTCTGTAACAATTGCTGCAATCTGCCGGCCCCCTGGACTGGTATCAACCTTCCTTGATGACATCTCTGCCTGGCTACCCTACTTTCTCTCTTCTCAAATCCCCACAATCATTGTTGGTGACTTTAACATCCCTGTTACTGCCAATACTCCTGCTACTTCTAAACGTCTTAATCTACCCTCCTCCTCTTTAGACCTGAAGCAATGGATACAGGCTTCTACTCACTCCAATGGCAACACCCTTGACCTTGTATTCTCCTATCTATGCACTCCGTGCAACCTCTCCAACAATTCTCTCCCACTCTCTCATCAGCACCTTATTAGTTTCACTTTCTCCCTGTATTCCAACTCCTCTCCCTCCAACCGCCTAAGAGTTACCCATAGAAACGTTTGCCACCTCAACCCTTCTCTTCTCTACTCTGCTACTTACCACCTACATGACAAAATCTCACCCCCGTCTTGCCACAATTTAGCCATTTCTGTCTACAACAGCTCACTGTCATCCTCTTTAGACAAGCTTGCCCTCTTCACTACACACATAATCAGGCCCCGACCCCTACAACCTTGGCAAACAGATGACACCAGAAGCCTCAAAAACGTAGCCATGCTCTTGAGCATCTGTGGCGTAAGACTAAGCCTCAGAAAGATTTCAACCAATATAAATCTACCCCCCCAGAAATACTATTCCTGCATCCTCACTGCCAAGCAGACCTATTTTATTACTCTCATTAACACCTTCTCATCTAGTTCCTGTCAATTTTTATTTTCCTTCAACTCTCTTCTTCATCCTCCACTGCCTCCACCCACCAACTCACTCACTGCCCAGGAGATTGCTAATTATTCAAAAAGAAAATTGATACAATTTGTGAGGATATCTCCGATGTGCAGATACCTCCCCCACTTAGCATTCCATGTCCACAGGTACAATCACTACTTCCCACATTCAACCCCACTACTATAGATGAGGTTGCTAAATGTTTTTCTAATGCCCACCTAACCACTTGCTCCCTGGACCCTGTTCCTTTGCAATTGCTACGGTCACCCTCTGGCTCTATCCTACCCTCTCTAACTCACATCTTCCTTCTCTCCCTCTCTTCTGGCATCTTCCCCAACTCTCTAAAACATGCACTAGTTACCCCTATATCTAAAAATCCCATACTAGACCCCACCAATCTAAACAACCTGTGACTCATCTCCTTATTCCCCTTTTCCTCCAAAATCCTTGAACGCCTGGTCTATGAGCAACTGAGCAACCATCTCACTGAAAATAACATTCTTGATCCTCTTCAGTCCGGATTTCACCCACTAACTCACTAATGATCTACTAACAGCTAAAACCAATGGACACTATTCTGTACTCCAACTTCTGGACCTCTCTGCTGCCTTTGACACAGTAGACCACTCCTTCCTCCTCAAAAAACTCTACTCCTTTGGTCTTCGCTTTTACTCTTCACTGGTTCTCATCCTACATATCCCATCGCAATTTCAGTGTCACTTACAATTCTACTTCCTCTTATCTTTCTTTCTCTGTTGGGGTTCCCCAAGGTTCTATTTTTGGACCCCTACTATTCTCAATGTACACCTCCTGCTTGGGTCACTTGATAGCCTCCCTTGGCTTTCAATGCCATTTCTATGCTGATGATAGCCAAGTCTATCTCTGCCCCTCAGCTCACTCCATCAGTCTACTACATGCATCACTAATCTACTAACAGACATATCAGACTGGATGTCACACCACTTCCTGAAAATCAATCTATCCAAAACAGATCTCATAATATTTCCTCTCCTATGTGCCCCTTCCCCTGACATCTCTGTCAAAATCAACAGCTCAACCATCAACCTGTCCCCACATGCCAAGGGTCTAGGTATAATCCTGGACTATGAACTATCCTTTCGGCCTCACATCCAATCACTGTCCAAAGCTTACCACCTCAACCTCTGCAACATCTCCAAGATATGCTCCTTCCTAACCAATGACACCACAAATCTTCTAACTCATTCCCTGGTCATCTCCTGCCTTGACTACTGCAACTATCTCCTCGCTGGCTTACCTTTACATAGGCTATTCCCCCTCCAGTCCATCATGAATGTTGCTGCTAGGCTCTCCCACCTTACCAATCATTCAGATACCCCTCTCTGCCAATCCCTCCACTAGCTTCCACTCACCCAATGAATTAAATTCAAGATACTTACAACAACTTATAAGGCAATCCACAACTCAGCCCCAGCTACATGACTAACCTTGTCTCAAAATACCGACCAAATCATTCTCTCTGTTCCTCCCAAGACCTCCTGCTGTCTAGATGTCTTGTTTCCTCTTCCTATTCTCACTTTCAGGACTTCTCCAGAGCCACTCCCTTCCTCTGGAACTCTTTTCCCCAATGTGTCCAACCATCTCCTACTCTGTCCACTTTTAGACGATCCCTAAAATCTCATCTCTTCATAGAGGCCTATCTTGCCCCCACCTAGCAACTGTACGTGTATTTTCTCCATCGGCCCATCCCCCACAGTTATTACCTTTTGTATAAATTGACCCTCCCTCTTAGATTGTATGCTTTAACAAGCAGGGCCCACTGATCCCCCCTGTATTAATTTGCATTGTAATTATACTGTTTGCCCTTATGTTTTAAAGTTCTGCATAAACTGTTGGCACTATACAAATCTTGTATAATAACAATAATAATTATAATTGTAATAAACTTTATTGCACCTAAGCACTTTATCATTATTTGTGTTTCTCTAAAATGATTCCTATGTTGATTGATCACATTTTTTATAGATGCATGTTGGGGTATTAGTTTCCAGGAGAAATTT